AAATCCACTCTCAGATCTGGTAACATTTTAATGATCCACAAATTTAAAGGCTGAAAACTAGTAAAGTCAACCTTAATTCTAGTTTGAACTGAGATCTGAATATATTTTTCAGTAATGGGAAGGTGGGAAGGAAAATCTAGAGAGCAATCAATCAAGCATCCTGCTCAAAGTGAGTCTTTTTTAATCTTTCCAAAGATGGGGATTTCACAGCCTTTCTGGGTACCCTGTTCCTGCCCTTTTTTCTCACTGTGGAGAATTCCGCCCATGTTTTACTGGGATTTCCCTTGCACTGTGACTGTGATCTCCTGACCTCTGCACTTTCTGTAAAAAGAGTCTGGACTCCTTGTCTTTGTAACTCCAATTCAGGGGGTAGAAGACTGAAGTTGTGTATTCCCCTAGTGGAACAAATCCAGTTCCTTTGGTGCCCCCATGTCACATCCATTGAGATTGGAAATGTATTTATGAATGTTTAGAATAATCTAGGAGTTGTCAATGTCCTGAGTAACTTAAAGGCTAACATAGGCTAAAGAATGCTCATTTTACTTGTTTCAAAGTATTTTTTCCTGTGTGATTTTGAGCTGCACTATTTTATTTAGAGTAGGTCTGGATGCCACTGCGAACAGGTTATTAATTTTGGAGGATGAGTACAATATCTGAAGTTTGGACAGACAGCTGGATTTTCCATTTTGCTTCCCTATCTCTCTCCTACTTGTTGCATCCAGCCCTTCTCAAGTAATAATAAACTTGTTTACTTGCCTGCCTTCTGTTGGCAATATCTGGCACTGCTGTGTTTAATGAGTAATAAGTTTGTCACAAAACCCGAAGCACAAGTATCACCCGCATCAGGAATGACTTTCCTTTAGTAATCACTTTTCCAGAAGATGATTCAGTTTGTTGCTGCAGGGAGTTGTGTAAAATGGAACTGAAGAGAATATTAATAGAATGCTCTGTGAGATGACTGAGGATCTCTGGCTGTGGGGTGGTGGAATGCATGCTTGCTGAATCACCTCTATTAAACCCAAAGGCACCATGATTGCACTTTAGTCTAAGCCGAGCAGAGAGAAAAAGGTCATCTTGATTCTCTCTTGCAAAAAATCTTTACTCAAAATATATATGAAAAGCTAAGCAGTTTGTAGTGCATGTTGATGGAAGGGTGCCTGAGAACATCCATCACTCCCTTGCTTTTTGAAGTGTTGTGCTTTTCCAGGAAAAGCTATTGTGCTGTGTTCCCAAGCAGGCACCCTGCCTTCTCTACCTACTTTTCTCCTTTCCAAAACTAAAAAAACATCCCAAACAACCAAACAAACCTAAAACTGGAAAAAAAAATAATTAGTTTTTTTCCCACAAGGCTTTTAAAGAGGTACTTGGTATAGGTAATGTGCAGTAAGAGGCTTTTGAGTTTGTTGAAATACGTCAGATGGCTTAATTATTTACCCATGTGTCTGTTTGACTATGACATCTAAACCAGCCCTTGTGCCTCATCTGGCATGTCTTGCATGGTGACTCAAGATACATTCAGTTGTTGGAGAGTTATTCAAAGACAAGAAACCTTTTTTTTTTTGTTTTGTTTTGTTTTTTTTGGTGGAGAACATTGATAACATTAATTTTTTCCCTACATCCTCATGGATAGTGGTGTCATCCTCAAGGTGCTGGAGCTAATGAAGCTGCTTTATGTCAGAAGGGAATCCTGCCTGTAGTGCCTTAGATTTGTGAATGGTAAGTGTTACTTGAGGAACTGGCCAGAATGGCTGTGGTTTACTTAATAATTGGCACTTCAGTTGTTGAATATCTCGCTAAGCTAAACTGACTTCAGTGGATTGGAACATTTGCAGACTCCCAGGAGACTGGGATATAAAAATAATAGACACCTGCTTTGTTTCTGTGTCTGGTACAGATCTAGTGCAGAGCTGACAGATTGCATCTAAATAATGTATTTCATCATTGAATCTTGCTTTTAAAGTCTTTTTTCAGAGGAAAAGGGCGTGTTGGGACAGGAGTTCACTTTAGGAAGTAGTTCATTTCTGTTTCATGAGTAGTTTTTAAAATATGATGACATTATCCCAGGATGGAACAAATTTATTAGCTATTGCACTACTTATTGTAGTCCTTGCATTAAATGTGGCTGTGCTTCCTTCTGAGGTGTTTGTGGAGTTTTTCTTGAGTCTCAGATCTTGGAGTCTGTTTCCCTCATTCTTCAGTTCTTCTTTAAGACACACAACTTCACAGTTCAGCAGCCAATTTTTAGGACCTTCTGAGCAATAATGCATAATTTCTGCAGTCTCACTTTATTGTGAGGCTCTGGGCTTCCCATTTGAAATTCTCTGGGTGTAAAGAAATGTGATCAACGTGATCTCATGCAGATCCACAGTGTGCTGTGGCTAGACTATTTCTGCTACCCAAGTTAATAATCTCAGGTCAATACTGTTATTTTTTCACTACATTACAGCCTGCTGAAGACCACAAGTACAGTTTTCTTTAACCTGCTGGACCCCAGAGTCTCCTTCTCTTGTAAATAAGTTATGAGCAGAGTGTTTTTCAGGAAGGCTGTGCTGACTTCTTATGCTTGTGTGAACTCTTCCCCTAAAACAAGCTTCACTCTTGCTTCTGGCAACTTCTGTGTACGTTTCTAAATGCTGTGTGTTGCCCTTTGGAGACAACATCTCCTCCTGCTAAGCTCACACTCATTAGTGGATTTCCTCTGCAGGAAAAACATGACTCAAATCTCAGCTGATTTCTGTTCATAAAACTCCGTAGTAGCAGCTCTGTGTTCTCTCTGCTTTTGCAGCGTGCAGGCATTTATTTGCTAGATGCTGAGGGAAACCACACAGCCAGTTTGCCTGCTGCAAAAGCTGGCACAGCACAGTGTCCCTGGCTGACTGGAACAGAGATGTTGCTGTGATGATGCTCAGGCCCTTCCCTGCAGAGGCTTTGGGGTTCCCCTGTGCTGTGTGTCCTTCCAAAGGAGGCAGAGGCACAAAGAAAGCACAGACAGCTTTCGTTTGACATGCCAGATCTGTGGCAGAGTGCCCATGCTCATCCTGAATACCTGCAGCCTCTGAGACTGCAAGGGGAATTCAGCTTGGCTTACACTGGATCTTTAAATGTGCGTTGAATCCAGTGTGCTCATTGGGCTCACCCCTAGTAACCCCTGAAAATACTCCTAAATTGTTTTGTTCCATCATTTCCTTCTAAAAAATTACCCACCCCATAACCTGGGAGTGAAAGCCCTTTTGGGCTTATCAGTTTTTGTGCAGTGAATTTGCACAATGCCTGGTTTTTCCTGGAGGAGGCTGTGAAGCATCTGCTGGGGGCAGATGAAGAGTGTGGGTTTGTGAGGGGTGAGGTCACAATCCCCTGCTTGGGCTGCTCTGGAGGGCCAGTCCAAGAACTGCTGGACACAAACAGCTGCTGAGATATCTCATTTTCCTGTTTCCCACAAAGGAAAAAACAGCAGCTGGGTCTAAAGCGCCGGAGCTGATTTAAATGAGTTTCTGGTTATTTCTACACATATCTTCAGTTTCATTGCCAGAGTGCAGAGTGAGGAGGAAGGAAAGACTCTCAATTATCCATTTTAGCAAAAAAGATTATTTCTTACATTTTCTGTTAAAGTTTCTACTCTGTCATCACCTTAGAGGAGAAAGATGTATCAATGGCCCAAGGTGGCACACTAGAAATGCCTTTGGGCTGAGAGCCTTGGGGACAGGGAGGTTGCTGGTACTTCCACAAACCCGTGCTTGAATCTTCCTCATCTTCTTCATGGTCATGTGAGGCAAAAAAAGGTAAGAATATTCAGCATCTATACCTTGGCCACTTGTGGAATAGCAAAGCTGTGGGTGAATGTTTAGTTATCCTGTGGTTTCTCATGTTAGGATCTTATATGTAAAAGTACATTGCAATATCAGTTCTGGGGCTGAAACTTGCTCTTTTGGATACAGAATTGTTTTGAATTGCAAACTAGGTCTGTCTTCAGAGCTGGAATGAATTGCAGATTAAACTCTTAGTGAAGAATAAAGGAAAAAATGTTTTTAATGCTACAGTAAAATAATGCTTCTAGGACAGGGGTCTGTCTCAGGAGGATAATTTTGGTGGGCTTTTTTTTATCTTTTCAAATTTCTTTTCTCTCTTAAATAATTTGTGTATGCCTGAATCTGGCAAAGAGTATTTACAGTGGGCAATTTAAGGTCTTGTTTTGATAGCTGAGTGAGATGGGAGAAAGAACAGGGGGTAGTTGGGATGGGGATGGAGAGTTGCAGGGAATTATGAAACTTCTGAACCTCATGAAATCACTTGAGTTCTATTGTCAGCTTTGGAAATATCTGCATTTTATGACTTCTGCTTTTCTAATGGCCCTGTGCAGAGCTGCTGTGCCCAGGGACCCCTCAGTGATGAAGTTGCACCTTGCTGAGATCCACTCCCTGTGTCCTCCTCTGTGCAGGGGGATGTGCAGTGGAGTTGTGGGTTTGGAGGGTGCAGGGGATGTGTGTGTGTTTGTCTGCTTTCACAATGCCTGCTGTGACATGTTTGTGATGGAAAAGGGAAGCACCCTGGAGCTCAAGGCTGGAGGCTGTGGCGCAGTTAGCAGCAGGAGATGGTGAGTTGTTATGAAGAGTATTGATATCTCTTCCACAGTTGTGGACCTTGGGGTAATTTTATCTCTGATAGAGAGCAGATTTACCCTGGTTGTAACTCCTGGTAATTTGTCATCTTTATCTTTGTTTCAGGCGGGCCTCAAATAGTTTTGTTCTTAAAATTTTAATTTTTAAGGGAGTCTGAACTCAATGTGTGTTTTAGCCTTTATTTTTAAGGATATTCTAGAAAGCTTTTTTAAAGGCAGTAAATTTGTACATTGACCATTTAAGTGCATTTGCTATGCAATCTGTTTTAACGAGATGTTTTTATGTTTTCTGGTTTACAGGTTCCTCTTTTCTTTTATTGAAAAGACCTAATGCAGAGCTTTTATATTTTTTAATTCTTTTTTTTTTAATTCTTTATTGTCCTAGGATGAATATTTAAACAGCCCTCTTCAATCTTGCTTCAAAATGTCCCTGTGCACATCTTCTCACAAGGACTTTTCTCAGTTGCTGCCACTTCAGGATATTGGATGCAATAAAACAGAAATTAAAAATTCACCTGCTGGTGTCATCTCTCCAGTCCCTTACAGCTGCAATCAGTCCACGCTGACAGCAGAGCACAGCCCAGTCTACATTCCCTCATCTTTCGTGGAAAACAGGCACGAATACTCCACCATGGAGTTCTGCAGCCCCGCCATGGTCAATTACAACATCGCCAGCAATTTTGGGGACCCGGAGGGAGTGGCAGCCAGGCAGACCTCGAGCCCCAGCGCTCTGTGGTCTGCTCCTGGCCACCTGTCCCCTCTGGCTCTGCACTGCCAGCCCTCCCTGCTCTATGCAGAGCAGCCCGAGAGCCTGTGGTGCGAGGCGCGCCCCATGGAGCCCGTGCTGCCCGCTGCCAGGTCAGTGATGCTTGGTTTAACACTTGCCTAAATATTGTCTACAGCTTCCTTAGCTCAAGGCTTTGCTTTTTGTGTTTGAATTAAAGTGCTGCTCCCTCTGAGAAACAAAATTACGCAAAAAAAACTCCACGAGACACCAAATCACCCAGGGAGTGTTGTGTGTGTGGTTTATTTGGTTGTGTGTGTGGTTTATTTGGTTGTGTGTGTGGTTTATTTGGTTGTGTGTGTTGTTTGTTTATTTGTTTGTTTTTATTGTATCTTCTGAAATAAGGTTTTTTTCCCCAATACCTCCTTAGACTACTATACACCAACACAGAGCACTACAAATACCGTCACAGCGAGAACAGTTTACATTGCATAAGCAAAAGCTCAAGACAGCTAGGTACTATTTTGTGCAACAAAATTTTGCTCTGGCAGATTAAGTCCTTTGAGTGAAAGAGGTAAATGTTCATTCCTTTTGCCTTTTCGTACAATATTGTTTGAATTAATTTTTACCCAGATTATTTTTTTTTACTGCTTCTAATAGATGTGAAGGCTTGTTGTTAACTTGAAATTAGAGGGAAATGTTTTTCTTTGCTTTTTGGTTTTAGTATGAGCAGTCACACAGCAGTATGCATAATGTTAAAATGGGGCTGCTGAAAAAACCTGACTTTTTTTTCTTGCTGCTGTTCCCAACTGACTTTGTAAAGTTGCTGTGAAGAGCAGAGTCAGAGGCTAAACTTTCAGCTGACAAATTCTGTTTGCGAAACCATGTTCTTGTTCTGCAGATTTACTCATATTGTAAACCCTCACCAGGGTCTGGATCATCATCTGATGAAGCTGCTCCATTCTTGGGCACACACTTGTTGGATGGATAAAAGCTCAGGGGCTGCAGGTGCTGTTCCTGCTTCAGCAGCTGGATGTTTATTCATAGCCTCCTTATTTAACTTCAGCAGTCATTTGGAGCATGAAAAATAGTGTGTCCTGGGAACAGTTTTAGTCAGTAGTTAATAAAGGATTTGTGCTATTTTTGAGACTTCCCACACTCCTTCTGCAATGGGTGGGCTTTATGGAGTGCAAATATGCTCTCAGTGTAGGTGTGTGCATTGGGAAAGACTCTTTGGGCAGCACTTACATGCACAATTCCCCAAGCAGCTTTGATGTCAGCAGGTGTCACATCCAAACTCTTTCCACTTTGGTTAAGGTTCCAAAACTTTGACAACCCTGGGAAGCTTAGGGTTTGAAGCCTTCCAGATGTTGGGACAGCAGTTGGAATAACCCAGGAGCAAGAGCATCCTGTCTGATGCTCTGCAGGGCCCTGTCTACAACAGACAGAAGGAAAGCTGAACCTGTCCCATTGGACAGGTTATTAAATATTAAAATATTTAATTACTTATTTAAATAAATAAGTCATCAGCTATTTGTATAGATATATAAGGACTATTCCTCATACAGCTGATGATGACTTAACTTAAAGAGAATCAAGAAATTCTGGGGTATAACCTCTTCTTCACAGAATGGTTTGAATTGAAAGGTGTCTTAAAGACCATTTAGTTCCAACCCCTCTGCCATGGACAGGGACACCGTCCTCTAGAGCAGGCTGCTCAGAGTAGAAGGATGACCAGGAGAAAATCAGTGATTTATCACTTTAAGTGAAGTCGTAATTCCTTTTTAGAAAGGTAGTATTTCTATATAGAACCCAGCATCAATACCTATTTTAATAATGTGAAACACCAAATCCCTTTTTCTTCCAAATACAGGGGAATAGGAAAGAATAGAAATGTTCTTCTCTCCTTTCATTAGCAGCCATTTAGGAATGTGTGATACAGCCCCTTTACTCTTGGGGAGAGTTCACCCTCACTGGTGTTCCCAGCATGGCAGAGAGGGAAATAACTCAGTGATTCACCAACCCATTAATGAGGTGTGTGTGTAATCAAAGACCCAGCTTGTTAAATACTTAAACACTCCTCTGCCTTGCTGTAGCTGAATGAATTAACATTTTAAAAAAAATCTCTCAGTAACTTAATTGCACAACAAATGTCTTAATTTTTCTGTTTTGAAATTTGCTCCAAGAAGCACCTTTTCCTCCTTTCCAAATTTTTAATCAGGAAATTGGAGCACATTTTCCTCAAAATCTTATGAACTTGATGATTTTCAGTTGGCATGTGGGGGTGTTTGTCCTTACCTCCTGTCATGAAACCAGCATAAAATCTACTTTTAATATATTAGTTAAAGCCTCTTTGTCAGCACTTTCAGCATGTTTCTACTATTCTGTTTAGACTTGCCCTTGTTCTGTAGAAGTCATAAAACCATGTTACCTGCTGTCTTATCCCAAATGATTTTTCTTCTCCTCCTTAATCCTTCTGGAAGGTTGGATGAGGAAAATTCTAGAGTTCTGAAGTTCTGCCTCTATGCTTGAATTTATACCTATAAGTTGACTAGACACCATTCCTTTACTCAAACTCTGAGCTGCTCAGAGTTTGCACATAACACTCTTTTCTCTCTGTCTAGAAACTGTATTGACCCTGAAAGCACAATGTGCAAAACTCACCAAGAAAATGAGGTCCAGATATAAAGGATACAATGGATGTACTTCCTATACCTAAACCAAACATTACTGATAATCTAAGCTCCTTTCCTCTTTTGTTTGTTTACAGGATCTTGGTGTCAGGAATTGGCTGTTTTTTCATGGTTTTTCCTGTTTTAATTTTAATCCCTTTATGAAAAATAGTTCCTGTATGTTGAAGATGTTTGCAACACTTCAGGGATGTCTATATCTTACTAATTTATATAGAGCAACAATTTTTTTAACGTATGGAAGTATTTTATTCATTGTGTTTCTTCATTCTTCTTGTATTCACACTTTTTGTTTAGCATCAGGGTGATCAACGTGGGCTGAACAGAAAACATCATGAGCTGATCTTGTAGGCTGAGATTCACACCTCAGTTATTTGTCTCCAGAATGTCACTGAATGAGTTAAGCCTCATGTAAAGGATGAAGCATTGGGAATGGATGTGTGTTGTAATTTTGCCTTACTAACAGGACAAAGCAACAGCAGCTCTGTCCATTGTAGCATTTATAATACCAGTCTGAGCTGTCTGAGTTCTCCTTTTCCATGTAAAGCTCTCAAGAGGCAAAATCCACTTGGTCCACAAATTCCTGGACTTTCTATTTCCAATAATTTTTCAAGACCCATCAGCATTCTGTATGATTTTTTCCCAGGGTTCATTGATTGACTCAGCAGCAGTCCAGGTTTATGCCTAAATCCTTCTAGTGTGTCATCACTGGGATCAGACTACATGCTTTAAATGCTTTATCTTGTCAGAAAAGGCTTGGCAGTGTTTCACACTATCCTGTCTTCAGGAATGTGAAGACTCTATAGGGAGAGAATAGAAGACAATGAAAAATTATGAAATGCTTTGCAGTGCAGTTTAAATTTTTCCTCTTTTATAACAGATGTTTTTCTCTTCTATCAGAGAAACATTAAAAAGAAAAACTAATGGCAATGACTGTGCAAGCCCAATTGCAAATAATCCTGGCTCAAAAAAGGATGCCCACTTCTGTGCAGTCTGCAGTGACTATGCTTCAGGATACCACTATGGGGTCTGGTCCTGTGAAGGCTGCAAAGCATTTTTTAAAAGAAGCATTCAAGGTAGGACAAACAGGTTTTGATCATTTGCTTAAATAAATTGTTTCATGTGACCAGGGGCTGCAGCAGTTGACCTAGTAATGAGCTGCTCTGAAATCCTGGTGTCTGGTGCTCCATGCTGAAAATAGAGCAGCACATGATTTGGCTGCTTTATCTCTTGGCTCTGCTGTTATCAAGATCTGGAAATGTTACAGGGTGAGGAATTGATTTCTGTAGAGAAGAGGTGGAGTGCACAGCACAGTGAGGCCCTGCAGCACTGGGATGGCACTGCAGACCTGTGGATCTGGTGGGAGTTGTGGCCCAGCTGATTTGTAGTAATTGAGAATTAGTTATCATAGGCACAGTAGGAGTAGGCAATTATCTGGAGACTTTGCTTGCTGGGAGCTCTTCTTGACAAGAGTCTATTGCCTGGAGCTGTTGAGTCACAGTGTACAATATCCACACACTGTGGAGGATGGAAAAATATGTGTAGCAAATATCAGGTGCTAACCTGATAATCATTAATGCTCAGCCCTCCACCCTCAGAGCCTGCACTGCAGTATCTCCTACCCTGACAGGCCTCTCTATCTAAGACTTCCACTTCCATGTTTAAATTCTTAAATATTTGGTATTTAGTTCAAGTTTGCTGCATGGCTGCAGTGTGAATTAAGTGTGAGGCGCCACATTTGCTGTCACAGCTAGTGGAAGTCACACAGGCACTGTACTGCAGATTTGGACACTTATTTTCTTTAACCTTGGCCTAGTTATCCTGATCTTTGGCCTCATCTCAGGTCATTTGGTGGAAAATCATTTCTATTGACATTGGCTGCTACATGTGGATGCCAATGCAGAGAATCCTGCTGCTGTTTGATCTTTACTGTTCCTCTCCCACTTCTGCCTGCAGAGCCTTTAGGAATCTTCAGGTATTTTCTTTTCGCTCAGTATGGCAGAGATGGTGCCCTAGGAGAATCAAATTTAATTCAGAACTTTGTTTTGCCTTTTCAATTCATTGTGCAGATTCTGCGCAGGTGGATAGCAATTTCTACAAGCTGGTGCAAGTTCTGTGAATTTCTAAAATAATTGAAGAGACCTTTGTGTCCAATTGTCACAAATGGAGATTGAATTTGATCTCAAGTTGTTTTCTGTCAAGTCAATGCTTTCCCTGATCTGTGTTGCTCACATGTACTTGGGCCAGCAGCAAGTTACCCACTGTGGTCTTTTGTACACCTCAGTGTACTCTGTCAGGTAGTGGTGTTTGTAATTCAAATGAAAGAATAAAAAAAGGCACATAAAATAAAGCCAGTTCTTGGCATAAAACACTTATCGAGCACTCAGTTGCAATGCCTGTTATGCAGGATATTGTGTATTAAAATAAAAGACTTCTGGGCCTGCCATAGAACAAAACATTGGCCTTATTAATGAAATTAAAATTAGAAATATGACTGAGCAACTGTGTGTGGTCTCCTTGGCTTGTCTGAGTTTGTAGTGTAGTCTGTCCCACATCACTGAACATCTGCCTGCAAGTTAAATGATCCCAAGGCCACAAGAGCTTTAAAACACTTTATGGTCCTGTGTGCAACACAGAGTTTCTTCCTCCTCTCCCTCCATGTTGTGTGAAGAGTGATAAACAGTAATTTGTTTTTCAGTTGTATCTGCCAGTAAGAAATGGGACAAACTGTAACATGAGCTCTTCTTTTTAAAATTGTCCATTCAAAAATTCAAGGTTAAAATAATTCTAATTTTGCATGGCAATAGTCACAATGGTTCAGTTAAATAATTACTCTTGGGGACGTGAACTCTTGGATTTTCACCAAGAGAAAAAAAAAAAAATCACTCTAGTAGCTGTATTTTTGTCTGATCTTATTCTTGGCTGGGAAAAAAAAAAAAAAACAAATCAAAACCAATTGAAAAAGCAGCCTGAGAGAAAAGATATTAAGAAAAGTAAATGAGTGAATATTTTTTGCATCCTTTGGTAGTTGTTGCAAGAGATAGTTCCACTATTTGACAGGAGATTATTCAACTGTATTTACACCAGGAGGGTACCCAAGTCCAGTTTACAGTAATAAACCTTTGGACCAGATTATTGATTGATGAACGACAGTAACCTAAAGGGGTTTGGGTGGGAACGCGGTGATATGGGAAAGAATAAGAAGACAACAAAAGAGGCTGCAGTGAGAACTGATCAAAGTAAGATAAACACTTGTCCAGAATATCTAAAACATACACCCTCTCCTTTTGCTTTTCTTTGTAGTAGCAGCATGCATTATTTCATACCACTCTCCTTTTATCTTGGCCTTTTTTTTTTTTTGGTTAACTTTGGTCCAGGGTCAATCCTCCAAAGGCTTCTTCATTCCTGGAACTCCCCACGTCAGAGTTCAGTAAATAGAGCTGTAGTTTACTTAAATCTTTGCAGGACTGCTCTTTTCAAGTCTGCTGAGGAAAAAAAAAAAAAAAGAAAAGCTGGTATCTGTGGTGGTGCTCACAGGGATCCCAGGATGAGGGAAGAAAAAAAAAAAAAAAAAAAGCTGGTATCTGTGGTGGTGCTCACAGGGATCCCAGGATGAGGGAAGAGATGAGAATCTTGACTCCATGTTTCATAAGGTTGATTTAATATTTTATGATATATAATTTTCTTTTAATATAATATATATTAGAACTATATTAAAAGAATAGTAGAAAAAATTTCATCAAAATGCTAGCAAGGAATAGAAAAGGAATGAAATGATAATAAAATCCTGTGACTGCTCACAGCCTCAACACAGGTGGCTGTCATTGGTCAGGAAGTAAAAACAATTTCACATGCTGGGTAACAATTCTCCAAATCACATTCCAAAGCAGCAAAACATGGTGAAGCTAGATCTTCTCAGCTTCTCAGGAGAAAAGATCCTAGCCAAAGGATTTTTCATAAAATATATCTGTGACAGGTATCTGCCAGCTATAGACTCCCATTATACAGTACAAAATTGGAGATTGGGAGGAAATTTCCACAAGAGTGTATGTTCCATTTTCAAAAAATGAAAAATAAGTTGGTTTTAGAAGGTGCTTGGTTATCTGACAGTCACCACTATAAAGCTGAGTAATGATGTCTGGGTAATCTTGAGGCCACAGGCTGATGTTTAAAATATAGGACAAATATTCATTTTTGCATCAGTTAAATTAATGGAGCTTAGATACATGCACACAAAAAAACTGAGTTGTTTAAAGTTGAGAACACTCCTGGTTTGGGAGATGACCAAGATGGTTGGAGAGGTTAAATTTTCCCTTCTTGCCTTGCTGCAGGACACAACGATTACATCTGCCCAGCCACCAACCAGTGCACGATAGACAAAAACCGGCGCAAGAGCTGCCAGGCGTGCCGGCTGCGCAAGTGCTACGAAGTGGGGATGATGAAATGTGGTGAGTTGGGCATGCCTCTGCTCTCAGCTGGGGTTTTGCTGGTTTTGGCTTTTTCTTCCCCTCGGCCTATTCTCTATCTTGTTTTCCCTTGGAATCCCAGGAAGGTACAATAACTAAAGAAAGGTTTTGTAGGAAGGAATTAACTGATTCTTAAAGCTGAAGATGATTTGTCATTTTCAAACCTGTTGGAAGGTGTAGGTTAAGAGTGAAAACCATATAACATCTGCAGAGCTTTGGGGAGGCAAGCTGCTTCCATGCCATGCAGAATGGGAAATCGAGAGCTGCTGCTTCCAGAACCTTCCAGAGGCAGCCTCTGCTGACGTGGGGTGAAGGAGCCTGTGCTGCGCTCTGCTGCTTGGATGCACTGCAGGAGCAGCAGTGTCACATCAGAGCAGTAGTGAATTAACCCAGCATTCCACCTCTGATGGTGGCAAGAGTGGGTGCCTCAGTGAAACTCCTGCTGCCAACTCTCAGCTTCCAAAAATTTGTGGTTTGGGTCATTATTAGAATGACATTATTAGAATGATATTTTCCATTATCCCTCTTCTTAACCGTACAAAGACTTAGCACCTACACCATTCCTCAGCAGTTTGGCCATCCATCCCTTGAAGAACAAGCTCTCTGGTTGCCAGGTTTTTGTGGGGGGCTTTGGTGGGACAGTGAGGGAAAAGCATTGGGAGGGCAGCTCCTTTTGTGAACAAGCTGTCTTCACATGATGCCCCACAGCTCTTCCACCAAAAGAAATAGTGAACCACCACTGTTTGTCACTGCACCACTCAGAATTATACAGCCTTTTCTTTTTTCCCTGTCTAGTACTTACAGCAATATGACTTCAATGCAGTTGATAATTTATAGATTATATTTTCAAAGTTACTTTTAAGAAGAAAATTATTTGAGAAACGTTTCAATCTAATGTATGTTTACAGTCAAGGTTTGCTGTTTCTTGTAGATTCCCCAATGTGTGTAATAGAAACAGGCTGGGAAAATAACCCATAAGAACACTGGAGTGCACAGGAGAAGGTCCCTGTGTTTGGCTCTCCATGATTTGCAGGCATGCATCTTGTTTCATCCCATTTAATGCAGACACCTATTTCTGTTTCAAAACTAGACACCATTTTCATCCTCCCACAGCTTTGATCTGTGGACTGTTTGTAAAATACGACTTCTTTCATTGGGAACATTGTTTAGAATTTCAGCCTGCATTTATTGCTGAACAATTAATGTCCATTTTTTCTTGCAACAGCATTGTCTTTTAGCATAGAGGCTCCTCTTCTCTTTGTTGTTAACAGCCTGATTTTGTTTAAGGACTGCATCATAACCTTCACAACCTTTGTTTTAGTTGGCTAAGTAAAGCAAGAAAACTTCTCTTGCAAAATAGGAAAGTAGACGAATCTGGAAGTCATCAGGGTAGCTTGTCCCTCCACCTGCTCCAGGCAGAGATAACCCAATTTTCACTTGGATGGCCAGAATCATGGGCAGCATTCTGGTGCCTCTCCTCCCTGCAGTGGCACTGACACATTTCTGCTGCTGCAGGAGCTTTCCTCTGCTCACACCCAGGATCAGATTTGCCTTTTCCAAGGTAACATCCTGCTGGCAGTTCATAATCACTCCACGATCTGTTGTGACTGCAGTCACCCTGTTCATTTCCAGCTGACAACTCCCAGAGCAGAACTGAAATTTCAACTGTTCCTTGAATTATTTTTGTACTCCTCAAGTACATTTAGTTTCTTCTGCTCAAGTCAGATGCTTCTTTCTTTGTGAAGCTCCTGTCTTTTCCCTCAGTGATGGTCCATCTCAGCTTTAGTGGTGCTTGGTCTTACCTCCAGCAAGGAAAGCCTTATGCCTGCAAATAAGATTCCTTCCAAAACCTTTCTGAATGGTGCCACTGTCTTTTGGTCATTTTTATGACTCAGAATTTTGCTCAAAGTTTTTCCAAGGGAGCTTTCTATAAAGCCCCTGTTCTGGAGTTGGAAAGGTTTGGTAAAAATTGATTCCATAATGATATTATAAGGTAGACCTCCACAGTGCTTGCCTTAAATTAATCCTTTTATTCTAGCTGTCCAAAAAGTCCTGGTGTGTGATTAGACCTCATAGGCACTGTGGTATTACAAGTAATAAATTATAGTATGCACTTATGTCCTAACCTGTGCTCCCTTGAATCTTGTCACATATTCATAAACATGTTTTTTCTACCATAATGATTGTCTGCAGGATATTGATGACTTTGCCAGAAAAAAAAAAGATTGAAATGATAACTGAAAAAAACCCCTGTATTTTTAAATAATTCATTTTTAAAATAGTAGCACTAAAGCTTGAAACTCTCAAGAATTTAATTTGAGAATCTGAACAATTTATTTTCAGAAAAAAAGAACATAAAAATTACTCAGAACTGTCTGAGTCACCTGATGAGTTAAGTGGCAGCTGTGAGCAATGCTGGTGTATGGACACATGGTGACAGACATTTAAAGCTGACAGATTTTAAGGCAGTATTTCTTGCATGAGATGTAAATGCCATTTCCTACAACCAGAGTGATTATCTCCCAGACTTTTTCTTATAAGAATCGTGCTTTAATAAAAACTTTGTATTGTAGAAAGCCATAAAAGAGAACACTTTGTTTTTAATGAAGGCTTTTCTGCGTCTCTGCTCCTTTCTGAGGTCACTTAGAGAAAGGATTGGTTCACATCTGCTAAAGCCCTGGATGGGATGGAATGGTTTGGGAGTGCATTTCTGCTCAGTGGAGACTTGTGTCCAGCAGAAGTGATAAAAGAGGTTCAATTGCCACTCTGTAGTTTGAGAGCTCTTCATAAAATCTCTGCACCATTCCCATCATAACTTAAAATCCTTGCTTTGCATATTATCAATAGACAACTCAAGAGAAAACACTTAAGAACTTGTTTAAAACAAGGTTGTGTGCCTAAATCTGATTAAGCAGTACAGGCCATCTTCCATGAAAGAAGAAGGTAGAAAAGTGTTGCTCTAGAGCTTTATGGTCTGAAATTCTCTTGGATGTCATCACCTTCAGAAATGTGAAAAATTCAGCCAAACAAGCCACAGGTATTTTGGTGGAGGCCAGCTTGGGGTGCCTTGTATTGAGGTGATACTGGATTTTCCTATGAAAAATAGAAAATATTCATATAGCATATAAAAATATTCATATATCATTGCCAAAAGCACATGGGTCATAGACATTGCATCTGCCAATTCCTCTGCAGGAAATCTCTGTTCCCTGCTGTTCCAAACAAGGAAGCTACTGCTAAAGTTTGGCAGTAGGACTCCTAACAGTGATAGAAAAATAATTAACAAAAAAATTGCACTATCATTAGGAACAAAGAAAATTAACAAAAAAATTGCACTATCATTAGGAACAAAGAAAACAGAAAAACTGCAGTAAGCTCTGCCCAGAAAACTTGAATAAAACAGACCAGGATAAACCTGATCTTCCCTTGGAACCTTCTGGTGTTTAGCTGGGGAGCTGAAATGGACTTGGACTGTTTGCCAAAGGCAGTGAAGAAGAGGGGAGTTGCTTCATCATTTTTCACTCTCAGATCAGCAATCCCCTGCTTTGCTTTTGGTTTGCTTCCTGAGGCTCAAATAGAATAAAATAAATAGGCTCAAATAAAACTCCTTCTTTCACAAGGAGTTTTCAGTTTCCCTGACTTTCATTTCCCTCCTCTGCACTGCTCCTGTATCTTTTCCCCCATGTGTCTGTTCTCAACATGTTGAAATTGCTCCAAAGGTGAAGCTCCTTTCAGCCCTGAGTGAGGAGGCTGAGAGGCCACACTCAAGTGATGGAGAGATGCTGCTCTTGAATAATTTGACAAGTTTGCAAGGAGGAAAACAGATTTCTCTGTGGGCTGGTTCAGGATTTGGCCCTTTCTCCTGTCTGTGGGCAGCTGAAATACTCCAAAGTACTTTACACACAGAAAATAAGTGGGGACAAAATGTTTCAAGGCATTCTCTGGACATCAAATGTATTAATTGAATTTCAGCTTTTATTGCAAGCACTAGAATTTCTGCTCACATTCTCATGTGCACACAGGCAGACAGCAGCTCCTTTGTCAGTGGCTCCACTCTTGAGAATTCAATTTGAGAGCCTGCTCTGGAGTGTGTACTCACCAGAACATTTGCATTTGCTTTGAAAGGTGGCTGGAGTGATCATGATTTACCAGTGTGTACTGGAGCAAGTTTACCCTCAGATTCTTTCAAAAACTGACTATAAAATACCCAGTGGTAGAATCTGCAGCTGCTACAGACCTGGTTGGTTTTATGAGCCATTGCCAGGGACCAAAATCAATGTGAAGGGCAACATGCCACATAGCTACCTACCATATCAGACAGCGTTTGTGATTTTCAGAGAATTTGCAAAGCTTGAAAAATAGCGTGTTTCACTGCCAGCAATGCCTGCTGTGGCTGAGTGAACAACAGGCTCATTTTAATGACCTTTTTCCAATGTGCTTCACTTCTTATATCTTGGGGTCATTTACTCATGGTCTGTGGTGCTGCAGCTCGAGGTCTTGCCCTTGGCCCAGCATTCTCAGCTGAATTCAGCAATTTTCTTGCACAAAATAGCTCTAAATAATGAGAGTGTTAGGAGGAATGAGGGATTTGATCATTTTGCACTTCTGCAATTGGCTGAATTATCTTTATAGAAATGAATATTAGATATTAAGAACAGTTAGGGAGTTTGTAGCAAAGTAATAGATAGCCCCTAATGTGGGAAGATGTATTTTATTTCTCTGCCTTTACACACATTGATCCACATCTCTGTACTTAAAACATTAGGCTGGTCAATAATTATTTATAACATATAGTTTTATAAACAGTTATACATGTCTTTTGTATGCTAAAAATATATATAAGTAGAATTTCTTGGTCCTGCCTAAACTTTGGATTTAAATAGAAAGAAAAGAAGTTCCTTTATGTTGTTGAAAGCTGTTGTTTTAACTGGAAAGACTGGTGACTAGAAAGTTTAAATGTAGCTTTCTTTTACTTTAAATGCAAGCAGAAATATAGGAAGTTTTAATAAATGGTATATCTTTTAAGTATCTTTTATGCACACTGCTCATTCATTCAGCCTACTTCTGTTTGGCAAGATATGGTGAATAAAAACCACTGCAAATAACTCAGAATCTGCTTTGGTTGGGTTTTTTCCCACCTTGGTTTTGTCATCAGTTATAATTTCTTTAGTAGCAAGTTTTTACGCAGAGATGTAATACTCCTAGTCTGCCTTTCTGGACTGGTAATGTTATTAGAGAAATTTGGTAAATGTTTTAAGTTGAGCATATTTTATATTTATATATATATAATTAATTGGTTATATAAGAAACTTGATGCAGTTAAATAACATAAAGTAATTTAAAGGGGTTTGCTAGTTCCCAGTAAGAACCCTCCACAACTTGTGAGATCTTTAATACTCTCAAAATCATAACCTGATTGAATTATCTTTAGATGAAGCACTGAGTGCAGCTGTGCAGATGGAAATTGTTCAAGATTTTCTCAATTAGAACAGAATGTTGAAATTCTTTTTAAATTGCTTCCAAGTTTAATTTCTTTGATATTCATCAAAGTATCTGCTCAATTATCTGTGTGTTTATATTTTCTGTATATTTATATAAGCTGAAAGTTATATTTATAGGTTACAAAATATTATTTAAAGATCATTACAACAGTGAATTGGAAAGGGTAACTCAGATAACATGTCACAGAGCATTTGGTATTTTTGCATAACCCAAGAAAATTTTTACTCTATTCTGCCCATGGCTTTTATTTCCTTTGCTATTTTTCTTGTTCTGTTTTTCAAGGTGCCCCTGGGAAATGTGCTTCAGGTTTCTAAACAGTGAAAACAATGTGCTTTCTTTCTTGGTGGTTATGGTGCCTCTCATGCTGTGGAGATCAGAGCCCTGCATCTCTGTGGGCAGAGCACCTGGTACCTGGGCATCTCCTCATCTGCCTCCAGCTGCACTCTTGTTCCTGTTGCCCACTGCCCTCTCAGCTTTTACTTTGTGTCTTCCCTGATGGAAAATACATACTTTCCGTGCATTACAAGATTTCAGAACAGAAATATTTCTAGTATTTTTTGGAAGCTTACAAACCACTTCAAGATTTTCCTCTTGACCTTTGTGCACTAGGCAAGAAATGAGGCTTAGCCCAGAGTTCACTACGTGATCCAGGTGTCTTTGTAGAAAATATTCTATGCCTTGGTGGCCTTTGACTCTCCTCAGGAAGGATTTGCCCAGACTGATGGTGGGAGAAATTGCTTTGTTACTTCTGTAGTTCTGCAGGGAACCTTTTTTTGGGTATTTTCATCAAGTCTCATTCCATGAATCTACATAAGATAATGTCTCGTGCTCTGTCTGTCTCTGCTGGTATGTTACCTTCCCTTAGTTGCTATTCATCTGCTCTGGCAGCTTCTAGCTAGTTGTCATTTGGCTAAACATTTGGTTCCACAAATTATTTATTTCCATCAATCCATTATTTGTGCAAATTTCCTGTCTGCATTCAGCCCATTTCATCCTACCCACATCCCTTTCAAAGTTGCAAAACCATCCTTTCTCCAAATGGTGCAGACCTGAAGCTGGACTAATTCCAAATGATCCCGCTTGGATAGCTCTGTGCCTGAGGTCAGTTCATCAAACAGCTTTGCCTGTCGGGCTTCTCCAATCTCTTGGATTTCCAGGGAAAGAATGTTCTCCAATATTGAGAACTTCTTTAATGAGAACTTCTTTAACTTTCCCCTGCATCCAATATGGTTTACTGAACAGGCAGCAAGTGAGAGTGAGAGCCATGGACAACTGAAAAGTTCACATCCTGAAAATCCTGGAATACTCAGTTGGTCCTTATTCAGTCAGGCTGTTCCTGAGTGGCCTTTGCATCCACCCCTCCCACAGACTGACCCAGATGCTGTTTGGCAGCTGCTGAAGGTGTGACAGGACTGTGACCTGAAAGCCACCTCCGCCTGAGCCTGAGCTCTTGTTTAGCAAGGCAAAGCCTTGTCAACAGCATCTGAAATTAATTTGTTGTGCCTCCACTGCCCTTATGTTTAATTTGGCTAATCTTTGGACCTCTTTGCTAGCTGAAGTAGAACTGTAGCTGACTATTTTATTAATATTGTGGTTTTGGAGAAGCTCTTAGACTCTTTCCTTGGAAGCTATGCAAAAACAGGCAACAGTGATGCTACCAATAACACTGACCAAGAATTGGACAATGTTTAGATTTGTCAGAACAAACAATTAAATCTGGGAATGTAGAGGACCAGTTCTCTTTGCAACAGAAGTAGCCTTCTGCACACAGAACTCCACACAGGGTGTTTGCTCTTAGTTGTAGATATTTGAATTCCCTTTGGAGAAATTTCTGCTGGCTTTTTGGGGTATGGGCAGAAAATGGGCTGAATCTTATGAATCCCTGGCTGAACATCCAGCTAATTCTGAGGCCCACTTGTGCTCGTTCCTGAAACATCTAATCTGTAACAACCCGGCCCAGACTTTCAAGTTTTTTATTCCTCCAGATTATATATAAAGCAAAATTTACAATCAGCTATCATTATTTGCCTTTAAAGATCTGATTTATATATTTTTGATATCAATGAGAGTTTTCCACTGGACTTTTAAACTGAGCTAACTGAGGTTCAAAACCAAACATTTTTAAACTTTGTTTAGCAGAATAAACAAAACCCCTCAGCTGAAGTCAGCAGGGACAAAGTTAAGTCCGTGCTGAATGTCCTAGAAACTTAATGTTCAATATTACAACAGCCAATATTCAGGGGTTTTCCTCCTTCTCCCCAGACATTTGTGTTGGGACCCAGGACATTCCTCTGGATGCCCTGGGTGATTTGAGACCCTGGCAGGGGGCTCAGAGACCTTGGCACGGAGTCAAAAACACCTGTGCCTTTGATTTTTAGCCCATGGAAAAAATTAACAACTTTGTATGAAGATTTACAAACCACGAGAGTTTGAGTAGAATGATAGTGAATTTGTCACAGGGTGAAAAAGTGACAGTTTTTTGGGGAATTTTGGGGTTTTAGAATGGGGCCACTCAAGAGGCAAGATGGAGGAATCTGGGCCTGTCCTGTCCTTCTTCTCCTTCTTCTTGTCCTCCATTTTCTGCTGTGATGGTGACACTTTTTAATTGGTTTAGAGTAGAGACAGACGGCCTAACATAGGTGATAGGTATTGGAAAAATATTGTAAATAATGTACAGGTAGTTCTTAGCATAAAAAAGTTAACACTACCCCCAGGGCAGGTGTTGTGTCACAACTTGACCTGCTGGATAGATCTCAGCAGGTGAGAGAAAGAATATAATAGATAAGAATAAATAAACAACCTTGAAAAGCAGAACCAACGAATCTTGGCTTTTTCTTGGGTCGTGGGGCTGGGAAAAAAGACTTTCTAACCCCTTGGGGTCATCTCGACCACAGAAACCTGAGCCATTTGGGTTTACACAAGGGAGGAAAATTCTGTGGGGAAAATCTCTCCAATGCAACGTGTGGTTCTCGTGGCAGGCTCCAGGAGAGAGCGCTGCGGGTACCGGATCCTGCGGAGCCACCGCA